AGAGAAGCGAAGAGAAAAGCCATGTGTAAGAACCAAAAGTCTGTGAACAGAAGCATACATACCTTTAAAGGGCCTGATATGACTGGTTACAAGAGAAGGAGTCAAAGAAACATGTAAGGCTAATCTGATGGAAGAGGAATGGTGGGAAATAGTACAGAGACCAGAAATGGTCAAAGAATGGGAGTGGATTCATGAGCTGTGTGAGAGAAGAAAACCAAGGAGGAAAAGGGGGTTTGGTGTCAAGCAGTCTTGCACAGAGTCTCCAAGTTGTTAAGAACACCCCAAAAACTTCAGAGTGAAGAAAAGCAGCCAGATGGAGGTAAGAATTACGAAGACAAATGGTAGAGAGAAAAACTTTATGTTCCAGAAGTAAGCAGGGACAAGGTAGAAGCCCAAGGTATGGAAAAGAACTGAATGTGGATCCCCAGAAAATCTATCAGGATCACAGTGGAGGGATTCAGTTAGGAGACAGAGAGAGGAAAGATGAAGAAGGAGACGGATAAGAAAAGTACGAAGACAGGAAAATTAAGCACTGGAGTGTTACTGGAGACAAGGGTTCAGTCCCCCAAATGGGTAGAAGTGACTCCAGGGTTTGGGAATCTAAGAATGGGTAGGGGAATAGCCAAAGGTGAAGAAATACTGGAGTCAAGGAGGATGAAGTATTTGAAAGTAGTAAAAACTGATCCAGGAATGTGTGAACATGTACTCGTATACCTGGAACCCCAGGGAAAACCAAATAATAATCAGCATGAGAGTAATGTAGAAAGGAAAGGATGAAGATGATTGTTTGTTTGTAGTTAAGCACAAAGCTATACAATGGGCTATCTGTGCTCTGCCCACCACGAGTATCAAAACCTGGTTTCTTGCGGTATAAGTTGACAGGTATAACACTGGTGGGTGACATACATGAAAGAAAAACCTATACAATCCACAGATATTTGGGGAACATTGTCCTCAATAGAAAAGAGGCAAGAAGACATCAATGAAACCAGAACATGATAAATTATGGTGGTAACATTTTCCAGTAGCTACAGGCAAAATAGGGGTAGTGTTAGCCACATCACCAGAACCTCAAAAGGAGGTCGAAGTCATTGTCATATTTGAATTCATGGTTGTTGTAGCAATTCTACAGATCAAAAAGTTTTAATGCTATTTAATGGCGATGTAGCTTGAAATCAAAGTTAAAGCAAACTAAAAGGAAACCAAAGAAAGTTAACACTGAAAAGGCAATGCAAATCTCAGGAAATTTAGTAAGTTTAAAACGTATACTTTTATTAGCCTTATATCTTGTTTGGTTAGAATCTTAGTTCGCACTGAAAAAGATATCACGTGATCAGTCACTTCGGCCAAGCTTCTGTCATACCCACTCACCTCATACAAACCTACCTTACAACTACTACGGTACTTGTAAGTATTAAATATAATTAAGGTTTAGTCCTTTAATGTTTTTACATACATATTTAGTATAGTACACTGTAGTTAAAAAAGCCATCTTACACCCTTTAAAAAAGTTATTCGAGTGGACAGAAAATTTTTAAAATGCACCCCCCACCCCATAATAGATTTAAAGATTGTGTTGCTTAATGTCATTTCAGACGTACACCCCACTTTTAAGGAAAACATCAAAACATATAATGGGGATCCCCCTGTATTTCAATTTTATTCACATTATAACCAGCAATATAATTATGTAGTGTTTCATTATGTCAGATCGTAAACAATACGTGATATTATATTTTAGGATACTTTACTTCAACATGACCAGTTGGCAGCTTACCATGCTATAATTTGGACAAATGGCGACAAGACAGCAGGTAGTACCTTCTCCATAACAAGTTGCTTGGATCAAGGTTGACGAATCCTGTGTGCCAGTTTGAATAACAATTCCTGATATCTCTAAAGCATACATGGAGCAAATGAAATTCTTCTGTAAACAAAGGGAGACTGTCCCAACTGTAAATTAGGCAAAGCCCCAGTGGACTGCATACACTCCTTTGCAAGTTAAAATGTAAAGAATACCAAAATCTCATTAGAATATTGCAGCTGCAAATGTAACAAGTAAAATACTATCACAGTGACAAAGGGGATAGCTGAGGGCTAAGTGTTAGGACCTTTGCTCTTTTTGATTTACATCAAAAGAATGATCAATAAATTATTCAAATTTACTGATGATATTAAAGTTTAGGGTGTTGCTTGCTGTAAGATGCTTCTCTTTACAAAAGGATTTGAATTATTTGGTGAATTAAGCAAATAAATGGCAGATGTTTTTTAGTTATAATAAATGTAAGGTAATGTACATGGAACATCATGATTTGAATTATGAGTATAATTTTGATGGGAATAACCTTAACAGTGTTATGGAAGAAAATGGTGTTTTAGTTTAGCATTTCTCAACTTTTCGATACCAGGGGCCAGCTTGCTGTCTCTATAAACTGTTGCAGATCAATAAATTACAAGTACAACAAAACCAGTTGGCAATGAAATTTGAATCTATGAAAGTAGCAGATTAACTACTAAAGGGGCCATCTAGAAGTTACATCAGATCAAGTAGAATTGAGACATCAACTCCTCATGATGATATCTGGTAATAAAAGAACTACATAGATGAGGAAATAAAATGTGGTCGGCGAGGTAAACCAAAAGTGGTGCATGCCAACAGGCTTTGGCGGTATCACGGTCCAGGACATTTCAGTTGGGATGAAGTGGACAACAGAACAAGTGACGCTGCTGAAGAGGTGTCACCTGAAAAAGCCAACATCGAAGAAGAAACTCTACTCAGTTTTGAGAAGGGAAACGATGAAGCTCTTGATGAAGTTACTACCACTGATGTGACTGTTATCGATGATAGGACATTTACTGATGAAGCAGATGAACCCCACATGAAGCAGAAGCCAACGAGAAGGAGACCAGTACGGAAGAAGATACGTCCCGTAAAATTAAGAGACTTTGTTGAATTGTAATTTTGTACATTTAATTAAGTTATTGTTAATTTTTATTGGTTTATTGTATGTGGCTATTGTTCGGGACGAACAATACTAAGGAGTGGCAGTGTTGCCTCAGCGAGGTCACGTGACTAGTATCACGCCACTCCTTCTCTCGAACCTTCGAGAGATTACTAGATATAGGGTAGGCTGGTATATATAAGATGATCACAACGTGACGCGATAATATGTGTGTGTAGGTAGTGAGTAATTGAACTGCAGTCTGGAAGTATTGTTGAAGTTAACGTTCGTTGTTATAGCGTTTGTAAAAGAGCGACTGTTGAAAATAAGTGTATCGGTAAAGTTATAATCAGAAAGAATAAACCAGTTTTATTAAGTAATGACTTGTGTCGCTAAAGTTTCGGTGGAACGAAGTTACGGAAAATCAATTAACAAACGGAGACGTAACAATATTATTAGGTTAAATAAAGTTAGATTAGATAAAATAATGAAAAATGATAATAATAATTCTTCATGAAGTATACTCGCAAGCAATTTCTATGTTACGTAATTCGATACAGTGAAGTGAGCTGCATGTTCACCAAGTTACATTACAGTGTTTTTTATTTGCAAGTAACAAAAATTTGTTATGTTTGTTTGTTGCTGTTGGTTTTTTTTTCCATTTGAGATATTTTCCAAGCATCCTGGGAGCTGGGAAAATATATGAGATTCCGGGGACTCCCCGTGAATCCAGGAGGATTGGCAAGCCTAGTAACTACGTCTCTGAATATTAGAGGAAGCTTCTCGACTATTAGTATTACATCGTCATCATGATTAGCAGATTCCACTAACAAACTAAATAATAGCATTGAAAGTATAGCTTACAAAAATACTTAAGATGATTGCAGTGAGCTAATGTGGAAAAAGATATATTATAATACTGTCCTAAAATCCAGAGTAGTTATTATTGCAAATGTATTTTTATATGCATTACTGTCACGTGCAAAATTCTTCAACAATTATATGTGATAATAATGTGACCACTACCTAACATGATACAGGACAAAAAGGAAAACATAAAATGAATAATTTATGGACAATTACACAGAGACTTTTTAAAATGAAGTAATTCTTATTTTATTAACAGTACAAGCTATTACCTCCTTAGCCAGGCCTACTTCAGTTCATGGAGAACTTGTGTTTAGTAGAATATTTAATACACACATTTGGTCTCATACTGTATTATTTTATTACCAATGTGGGAGAGGGAGAAAAAAACATTTCCTGGTGCAGGTATATTAATACTTGTTCAGAGTGAAATGGGAATGTTTCAATTGCCTGACCACCAAGGTCACCTTGATTTGAGAAACTTTCAATGTCACAATTTTGTATTAAACCGCGCCAGAAGCTAGAAGTTACTATGATAATCGATATATATATAT